GAGAGACAGACACACACAGATAAGGACAGGGAGAGGAAGAGAGACAGACACACAGATCTGGACAGGGAAAGGAAGAGAGACAGACACACACAGATCAGGACAGGGAGAGGAAGAGAAAAAGAGAGATACACAGACAGCTGGGGTTGGAGTTTTACAGGACAGACAGAGTGAAGCAGAGAGGAACACCTGAACAGGAAGGTACTGTGAGTGAGGGAGCGGGAAACAGACACAGATTGTTAAATGCAGGTGGAGTAAGGCAGAATGGCACACAGCCAGTGGTGTGACATCATCCGGGAGTCTGCCTTGGTGTGTGCTGGTGCGTCTCTCTCATGGGACGGCCCCTCGCAGTACACCATTTTTGTCTTCAGGTCCGCTTTGATGTCAGCCCGGGTTCGCAGGCCGGAGCGGCCAATCTCTCGCCCCTACAGCGGGACGGGCCAGCCATTTCCACAGTGACCACAAGTGGGGCACACCCCCAGCCCCGGGACAGAACAGCAGCTCTCTTCGGCCAACAGGAACCACAGGCACCGAGCAAGTCAGCTAAATACAAGGCCCCCAAAGGTGGGAAAAGTGCATTGCTGCTTGAGCCCTTAGAGGTATTGTCTGTAGGGATCCCCAATGCCCCAGGAGCCCCAATCGCTGGTGTGTTATTCCTCAGACTGGAATCTGCATGTAGATTCAAACTAAGAGCAAGAGGCACTTCTTTATAATAAGAGTTGTGGGAGCGTGGAACAAGTTATTGAAGCTGATACCATGACTTCTTTCGACAAACAGCTGGAGGAGATCCTAGAATCAGTTACCTACTAACTACCCACAAGACAAGCACCAGCCCAAGTGGCCTCCTCTCGTTTGGAACTGCTCTAATGTCTGGCAGTTCATCACATAATTTGTTTAATCAGGGAACTGACTTTATTTTTTTTTCTCCTAATGGTCTCTTCATTATTTCATTGAGTGGTCTCCAGCTTTAATAATAACAATTACATTGCTCCTGGTCTTTGGAAATAGGCAATTTAACAGTAACGTATCAAGCCTGCTGGAGTGGGGCTTTTCCAGAGCCTGATGGGAAAATCCTGCTGTCCAGATGGTCTTTTCTCTTTCCTCTTCATGTCTCACTTTCTCTCTCCCTCTTCAAATCCTTTGGGAACCATTCAAAAACCACTGGGGGTTTTCTGAGTCTCACATGATTGCCATCAGAAACCTATATAAAGAAGATCTGAAAGCAGTAATCACAGGTGTTTGCTATATTTGTAGGACATTTGATGTTACATTTTCATCCCGGCTCTTTGGTTTGTAAAATCAAGTGGGCTGTAGTATGTGCAGCTTGATTTGTGTAACTTTAAAGAAAACATACCTTGATGCAACAGTAAATCAGTTGTCAGTATTGCCATTAGTACAGTCAGTGTGTGGTTATTAGCATGGTTGTGAATATGGTGATCAGTTTTATTTTTTGTGAACAGGGGATCAAGACAAGATACGGAAAAGGCACCAAGAAAAGCAGGCAGTGCGAGAGACACCCCTGGATTGCCAGCCAGGGGTCCTCGCAGAAGGTCCGGAGCTGAACACCACCCTGGCCGTCGGAGTGGAGCTAAGAGGCGTGGCTGAGGCGGAGTTTGACCCCAAAAGGGCAGTGCAGGACCAGCTGAGGAAGTCGGCACACAGGAAGAACGCCATTGAGATCAGAGCGACTGAGGGTGAGAGGTGGGAACAGTGGAGCCGGAGCACAGGACAGGGTATGAGAGGAGAGGAGGAGCAAAGCAACAAATTATGGAAAGAAGAGGGAAAGAGAGAGGGACTGGAGGAAAGAGGGCTTGGAGAGGGAGGAGAGAGATGGGGTAGATGTGAGAAATGAGTACTGGAGTGAAAGAGAGGAGAGGAAGTTCATCAAAGAGAGGGGCAAATGAGAGGTTGGGAAGAATTGAAGAAGGAAAAATGCTGTCTTAACTCCCTCTTACAGCCTGTGTCCCTCTCTGTCAGGAGTGAACATCCCTCGTTCCCAGCAGCTCTATCGCGCCCTGGTCAGTGTCAGTGTGCCGGAGGATGAGCTGATCAGTGAGGCTGTCAAAGAGAGGCTGCTGCTGGCCCCGCCCCCTCGCGCCCACGGCAACAAGGTCAGTAGGGGAGGAGTCACAGGCTCGTCGCTCTACCCGCCAGTCACCTCCAGGGTAAACCATGTTGTAAGAAAGCAGGAGGATTTTTGATGTATTGTCTAGACATTATTGCTCTCTGAAAAGATAAGGAGGCGCTGAGCAGATACCTCTTTTTTTTAGGAGACAGGTGCATTGCAATAAAATGAAAAGTGAACGTTTCAAAGTAGTGAGTTGCATAATTATTGACACAAGTTGTCAAATGGGTACCTGCAAAATTGGTTTAGTCCACAATGTGCCCTACATGACTCAAGCTCCCTTTCGCCCCCCGTTGGTCTCAGCAGGGACTGGCTGACTGGATTACTTCACTGGCCTTTCATCTTGAATTGCCTAAATCTAATTAGTGGGAACACTTGTAAGTTATGTATCAGTGAAACAAGATATTTAATTAAGTAAGGGAGCTCTAGTGTCCCAGGGCTTTTGGATTTGGGCTGGTCCTCCCCTGACCGAGCCAGTTTGCTTTCTGTGTGCAATTCCAGGAGTCTCCAACAGCGGGACCCGACCTCCTACACTTCTACAGCCCCAGCGAGCTGCTGCGAGAGACCCCATTCCTGCCAGGGGAGGGGGTGACCCTCCCGCGACCCCGTCCCGTGCCCAGGCCCTCGCAGGCAACCTTCGATCTCTACCACAAGCATCGGCAGTGGGAGGCATGACGCCCCCTGTCTGCGAGGGGCTGAGCCGCTCTGACTGAGAGTGTGTGAGCTTTGAGGTGTGATAGAGCTGTAGTAAGCGGGTGTGTATTTATATATAGTAGATATTTTTGTCTTAAATTATTTAAATAATTCTGTGTGTGAGTTTTTATTATTATGAGAGAATTATTATTACAATTATTACAATGTTTTGCATAAGTATTCACCCCTATCCTGTAAGATTCCATTTTGTCCGTCTATTTTCTGAATGCTTCTTCCAGTTCAGGGTCACAGGGGGGACTGGAGTCTGTGCCCACAAGCAGCGGCTGTAAGACGGGGTACACACTGGACCGACAGACACAAACACGCGCACTTTAAGGAAACTCAAGGAAACCCAGGGAGAACACGCGAACTCCCCACAGATAGCACCCCAGAGCCAGGTCGGGCTCGAACCCAAGGCCCCAGCACTGCAAGGCAGCCATGAGCCTCTGTGCTACCAGCGTTCCTTTTTCTTGAATTGCAGATGAAGTGTACACTTTTTTAAGTCAACTGTTTTATACATTTTGTGTCACAGTCTTGTATATTTTATAGACAATTATATTATAAATAAATGTTTTTCACTGAAAACTGAACACTTTTGGGTATAAAAACCTAAATGTAAGCAAAAGCTCAAATGTATAAAATGTTGATTGCTTACATATTTACATATCTTTCCTGTGTTCAATTTAAAGTCATTTACAATGTGTATACATGATTTGTAATTCAAGACAACAGGATATCATTGGAATGGGTTAAATACTCCTGTCTGGTGGTGTACATTGTTTCTTGATGATTCTATAGAGACCAGGAGCTGCGCAGTACAGCTGTTGTCCACAGAGAGACCAGGAGCTGCGCAGTACAGCTGTTGTCCACAGAGAGACCAGGAGCTGTGCAGTACAGCTGTTGTCCACAGAGAGACCAGGAGCTGTGCAGTACAGCTGTTGTCCACAGAGAGACCAGGAGCTGTGCAGTACAGCTTACAGCTGTTGTCCACAGAGAGACCAGGAGCTGTGCAGTGCTGTTGTACCCTGAACTCCAAGACATAATAGTTGTTTTTTATTATATGGTATTAACTGCTTCTTAACCGTCTCTGGAAACCACAGATTCAAAGTCTGGTTTAAACATGCTGTTTATTGCATGGACAGTAACAATGAAACAGATTTTATGTGGCCTCACTCTTAGTCACAAATTGAGTTTGACTGCAGTGTAAAGAGATAACATTGAGCATTTCTAGAGAGTTACAGACATAGCCCCTTGTTTCCAAAACATGTGTGCTCACTGATTTGTTCAGCTGTGATAAAGATGGTGCTCTAAAGCTGCACTTATTTATCAGTGATACCCTTCTGTTTTTGAAACTCTAGGAAAATCAATTATGTTCCACCCGATCTGGAACAGTCTGCTCTGAGCTCACAGCTGTCATCCCTCAGAATCACAATGTACCTTTTAGGGAGATCCTGCCTTAGAAGTGCTTAGTCATAATCTCACAAAAGGGAGGTTCACACCATTGGCTCCTCAGCCAAGCACGGACACCCAGTTCCTGACCTGCAGTTCCTTTTGTACTCAGGAGATCTACTATTGCAACAACACATCATAAGTGGGGTAAAATGGACTTGTCTCGCAGGCAGAGGTGAATGACGGAGTACAGGCTCTGCCTGTCCCTGTCTCTCTCACCCTCTCCCCCTTCTCCTCGCCTTCCTCTCCTCTCTCTTTCCTTCTCCTGCCCTCTCTCTGCCGCCCGCCACTTACAAGAATGGTTTCTGCCGGGGCTGAATGACGCAATGCGCGTCCTCGTCATACTCCAGATCATCATCATAATCCTCCTCCTCCTCCTCCTCTTCCTCTTCCTCCTCCTCCTCCTCCTCCTCCTCCTCAGTCTCCACCCTGTGCGGCAACTCGTGGTCCCCGTTCATCTCCAGGCAGCGGAAGCAGAAGGCGGCCCCGCAGGACAGGTTGGGACAGTCCACCTCGGGACAGCCGTCCAGCATGTGGGACACCAGGGTGAAGCAGGCGGGGCAGGCGCGGACCGAGGGGCAGCCGTGTACCTCGTTTCCCGGCTCGTCCACCACGGGGCAGTGCAGCAGGAGTGCCTGCTGGGGGCAGCGGTCGTTGCCACAGTCGGTCTCCGCTCTGTCCTCCTCGTCCCTCCCGGCCCCGTGTCCCTCCCTGGAGCGGGACCGGGCCCCCCGCCTCTCTCCTGCCTCCTTCCCCGTCTCCCCCCCCCGCGGGCTGCTCCCGCGCCCACGGGCCCTCCCTCTCTCCGGCCTCCCCTTCCACTCCCGCAGACAGTCCCAGCAGAAGCGGTACAGGCGGCGCAGGTCCAGAGAGCAGGGGCCGCACACCGCGC